ATAAGATGTCTCTTTGTGCTGATTGGGATTGTCTTATGCTGTAAGAGGGGAGCTAGCTGTCCCAATACTTGGTTTGCTTTACTGCATCTAATGTCAATTTCTTTATCCAATTTCCCATCTTCGGTAAATGTAGTTCCCAGATATTTAAACTCAGATGCCTGTTTAATGCCTTTGTATTCTATTGCTATGTTTAGATCTGTCTTCTTTTTTCCTATTGACATTACATCTGTCTTTTCAGTGTTGATTCTCATATTATTTGTTTTACATTCTTCATTCATGGAAGTTAGATGTTGTTGCAATTTCATGGCTGTATCTGCTATCAAGGCCTGGTCATATGCAAAGAGTAATTCGTTGATCTTACTAAGATCTTCATTCATGGGCTTGGCATTCTTGCATATACTGTCGATGTAGGTTATAAACAGCAGTGGTGATAAGACACACCCCTGTCTTACTCCAGATGTCACTGTGAAAGAATGAGATGTTCCCTGATTTATTCTAACTACACTTCTACAATCCCTGTATAAACTTTTGCACACTTCGATGAGGTGTTCGCTTACTCCATATCTTGCCATTATTTTTCATAATAATTGTCTGTCGACTCTGTCAAATGCCTTCTCCTGGTCTACGAATGCCACAAATAAGTTCTTATTGTATTCAATGTTCTTTTCTATTAACTGTTTAAGTGTGAAGATTGCATCTGTGCAACTTCTATTTCTCCTAAATCCCATCTGTTCTTCTGCCAGCTGTGGTTCTATCACTGGTCTCAGTCTTGTTTCTATTATCTTGGCATACATTTTGCCAACATGGCTTAAAAGAGAGATGCCTCGATATTGACCGCATTCTCGTTTGCTTCCTTTGTTCTTCCACAATGGTATAACTATTGCATGTTGCCAATCAATAGGGGCTGTTTGTTGTACCCATGCTGCATTGAATATTCTGTGAAGCCATCTGATGCTGCTTTCGCCTACTGTTTGAATTATTTCTGTTGGTAATCTATCAGCTCCTGGTGCTTTATATTTGGGAGACTGTTTAATGACTTTTTATATTTCATCCATTAGTATGTGTGGTTCTAACACTGTTGCTCTGTGCTCTTCAGTTGTTCTTTCCTGATGATCTCCTAGAGGATTAAAGAGCTCATTGAAGTATTCCCTCCATCTTTCTGCTATCTCGGGTGGATCTATCAATGGCCTTCCTGTCTTATCATTAATTATTTCAGTGGGGTTGTAGCTCTCATCTCTTTTCCGCATATTTTTTAATTACTTTGAAAATTTTTCTGCTGGCTGTTTTCTCATTTTCTGCTAGTGACTCACCAAAACATTCCCAGGATGCTTGTTTTGCTTTCTTGACACTCCTGTTGGTTTCTCTCCTTTGCAGTCTATAGTTTATATAATCTTCTTCTTTCTTTGATTTTATCCACTGTTTATATGTCTTTTTTCTTTTTAATTGCTTCTTTTACTTCTTCGCACCACTAAGGTGAATATTTGTTATTTCCCCGTCTGTTTCCACTCTTCCATTTTCCACATAATTCTTCTGCAATACTAAGCATAGTGTTTTTATATATACTCCATTCTTCCTCAATATTGCCAACTACATGTGGAAGTTGTTTGAATGCTGTCTCTACTTTCTGTTGTAACTGTTCTTTTACTCCTTCCTGTTTCAGATTTGCTATCTTGATGAGATCCTTGTTTTTCTTTAATTTCTTTCTGTGTTTCTTTAATGTAAGATGTTTTGCTGTTAACACAACTATTTTATGGTCAGTGTCACATAGACCATTAGGGATTGCTCTTGAATCAAGAATTCTCCTTCTTCCTTGAACTCAGGTAAGTATAAAGTCAATCTGGCACTTGATGGAGACATCATTCCATTTGTAGCAAGTGTAAAGTTGTGAATCTCTATGGTCAAAGAATGTGTTCGTAATAAAAAGATTGTGCTGGCTGCATAGATCCAATATTCTTTGACCATTTCCATTTCTAGCAAGAGTATGGGTACTTTCCTTTATATCTTTCTTGATTTACAGACATTGCATTAAATAAGTTAAATAAGGCAAAAGCAGTGGATCAATTTCCACGGTCTCAAATGTGGAATATGGTGCTGGATTCTTGTTACAGTCATGTGGTGATATGATCAGTATCATGCCAGCCCACCTTTACTGGATAATCTGACACACACTGAGGCGAAGTCTACATCAAAAACCAGCGTAAAACATTTTTTAAAAATTTCTAAGGGGATTCAAACCTATGACCCTAAGGATGGCAGAGAAGCATGATAATCACTGTGCAGTTGCAGCTTCCATGTCACTAAATACTGCACTCAGTTATTCATCACACTGGCATGTAGTTGGCTGATCATCCTTGTCGCGCACCCACGTGGGTAAATACACTGATATAGTGAGGGTGTGGGTTTGATCCTTAACAATGCCCACCCACGTGAGAAACTGGACTATTATCTAAGCTATGTTGATCCTAGACAGTCCTGGATAGCCAAGAAAACAGCGAGTGGCTCGTTCCATGAAATGAAAGTTGCTGTACTTGTATCCACAGGAGAAGGAGAAGGGATAGATAGATATCTGGATACACCCACTGTGATATAATCCAGGTGCTCAGTTAACCCCTGCGACTGGTCTCCTCTCCTGGCATTGCTAAAAAGCCCCCATCAAGTGATTTAAATATTTGTTAGCTGAAGTAAACTAATATGCACAAAGACACTTGAACCTAAGTACACAATTTACTCAACTATGTTTAAACATCAAAAAGATTTATTTAATAAATCTGACTAAAATAAAATGAACTTGTTTAGGCTAGTAGAGTTTAGGTTATGTGAATGATGAAATCATAAAGGTATTGGAAAGTAACAACCTTTGGACAGTTCTCGGCTTGAGACCCTGCCTATCTTTTCCAGTTTGTCGTCCTCACTGCTTTCTGCAGGTCGTTACACTCGACGGTTGGCAAATAATGGATGCCTACTAGTCCCTGCCCAATGTGGGAACTGGAGAATGAAGAAACAAGCGCATATTTGTAGTATCTGCTCTAGATGTACACTAAGCATGTATATTATACTAACATCAAGCATGTTTATTTAAATAAAACATTTCATCTCTCCCTCATGCTCACATTCACTCCTGTCCAATTTGGAAGGGCTTATGTCTCACATTCCAACTGTTACATCTACTGCCTTCCTCTACACGTCCTGTAATGATAGTCAAGTCTTCTACGTCAGGTGCCATCTCTCGTACAGATTCAAAATGACAATCAGTCAGACAGAACCAGTTCTGGAATCTATGCTTGGAACAATGGACGCGCCCAGAAAGCTAACAACATTTCTGAGGCGAATCAAATAACAAATCTCGTGGATTTACTCTCCGGGATCAATCTCCGCATTAGCCTCCCGAGAGTTAAACACATTTCAGTGTGTAAGCTGTATGTAATACAGATTCACAATAACCACACGTGAAAAGATTGCCAGAGTTATCTTCACGCTTGTGATTTCAAAAACATGATAGTTCATTAAATTTCAATGGCAACAACAACATTTAGGTTTTACAACATTGAAACACATGTGCACGAAAAACATTCATGACACTATCAAATAGGATATAAAGCAATGTGACAGTGCCCTACGAGAATGAAGAAATGTCCGCCTAGGAGTATTACAAAGTGATGAAGACACACACTTGAGCAAAAAGACAGTTAGATCTCTATCATAAAATATAGATTTGAACCTAATTTCGATCTTACCTGGAAAAATGAAACCACGATACCAAAAGTTCTGTCTCAAGCTTAGGTTAAGCCCAACAGATGGCATGTGCTAGACAGGATCTCATTTACCAGACCTTAAGTTCACCACTTTATAACTTTTATCAAGCTCCTCCTACATTACGCCTAAAATCATTCTCATTCAAGGATGTCATAGCTCCTCCCCTGTGGGTAAGTTTATTCGCTGTCAGTCAGGGACTGTACAATTATTGTTTGAATTCCCACACTAGGATCTCCTGGTCAATTCATCTGACCAGAGCAAATAAGACAAGTCACACCTCCAGTCTACTTCACCTGTCATCACAATAAAATCCGACTTTGTCAATTCTTCTGCCAACACTTTCCGCTCACTGTGTCAATAGTGACGATCTGACCGGCCCTCCAGTTTAGGTAACCTCAGGGGGAGATAATGGCAATTAGCCCTTGTTATCTGTTCCTGAAGATCTGGCAGGGGGAATAACTATCTGACACCAACAGATGGTGTGCAAATCTCCAGTCAGTAAGTCTGCTTGGTCAGTCTTATCTCTGTACCTTAACCCTTAACATCTGGGAAAAAGTTTTAGTGTTTGATATGACCAACGGTCCAGGAGAATTAAAGATGTGATGTGGTCGTCTTACTTTGATTAAGGATGTATCCAAATCCCTATTTGTCTGTATACTTCAAAATACATACAAATAAAAGTAGGTTGAGGAAAGACATTCTGGAGTCACCGAGCGTATTGTCACAATCCTGAACACACATTGAACCATTCAATCCAAAACTGTTTTATATCCCCTTCTAAGGAATTCCTTCAGTGCATTGTGAAACTACATGAACAAATCATTGCTATATACATCGCTAGAATATCAATTTGTATGTTGTAAAGATCTGAACATAAAGATTGGCTAATAAACAGCATCTTGTCTCGGATGCTGAAATATTTTGGCTATATCATGCACCACGGCGTATTGGAAAATAATAACATAAAGTTTGCTACCAGGGAGGAGAGGCAGAGGCCGACGTACCCGGAGATAGGCTCAGGATATAAGTGACTTCTTGAATATGAAAGTACATGGGGCCGAAAAATCTGGCAAGAGACAGAGTTTCTTTCAGGCATACCATGACAAAAGCAACGTTCTGCAAAGGACTGACAAATGATGATGATGATGTAAATGATTTCAGACACCCACTACATTCATCTCGATAAGAATAGGGGAAAGAAAAACTGGAATATTAAATTCATCCACAAAAATTATAAATCAAGTTACCCAAATGATACTGTGCTGCAGCTCTATTTGAATACAAAACAGCATTCAGTTCAGCATCTGGACTCCTGCTCTTGATTCCTTCTGTGTAGTTTTCAATGGCAATCTTGTATTTTTTACGCTTGAACTGATCATTACCATCATCCCTGTAACAGTCAGCTCGTGCTGTGAATACCACATGAAATTTCATGTAATATGAGAAGACATTCATCATTAGTAACATTCTTCTTCTTCCTTTTCTATCTACCTGAAATAAGTTGTCTACATCAGCAATTTTGTCTCTTGTATACATTTCACTGTCATTTTTAGTTAATTCAATGGTCTGTAGAGTTTACATTCCACTGTTGTTCTTTCTGGCCAAAAGGTTTGCCTTAATGTGCCATATTGAGTGCAGTCCTGGAATATGTGTCCTGCTTTCTAGGGCAACTTTCCACATGTGCACAGGGCCGATAAACCAATCTTAAATGTTGTGTCCATGTGGCTGCGTAATTGGCTGTGCCTTGTTCTGAGGTGTAGGATAATAACTTGTTCTGATCTGTCCATAATAGAGTAGTCATTTTGTGCTGGGGCAGGTGGTTTTTCTGATACATTCTACCTACAAGATACTTTTGTTTGGAAACACAATTTGTAATACACTATATTTCAGTAGTATTTATACAACAACAAATTGATCGTTTTATGCAGTTACTGATTAGCTCTTCAAGGGTAAAAAAAATTTTCAGGGGTTTGCACAGCATTAACTTCGAGCTGATTTTTTTTTTCAACGCAACATGACAAAGCTAAAACTTTTCTGAAAAAAAAGTATTGGCTGTATTTTGACATATATCAAATTAGAGAGAAATGAATAGAGAATACATCTAAACTATTTAAGGATCACATATAAACTATTTAAAGATCAATATTACAATAAGAAAATATTAAAATGGAACCCCATTCAAGGTTGTCAGACACACATTAAGATTTTTTACACAAGTAATGTTGTGATTGGCTTTCTTTTTTCCTTTATCAACAATACTGCTATCCATTTCTAAGAATTCCCATGCATTCGCTATTCAATTATACAGCAGTAGTCTTTATCTGAAAAAATTAATCTAAATGGATTTTATGACCATTTTTGTGTGACGTAAAATTTCACAACTATCAAAACCCGGACACAGCTGATCGAAACAGGAGTGATCTGATTAAAATATGTTGTTCAACCTCATCCCAACCCATATTATCAGTAATAGGTTTGGCACTTGCATTATCAATCATAATGTCAAAACTACTGTCACTACCTGACCAAGATTCATCATCAAGGCAGCAATATGGACAGGTCTAGACCTTTTCCCTTATCATTTGATCTGGAAAATCCCCCCAAAAATGTACCATACTGAATAAATTAAAAACAAATCACAAATTAAACCTATTGCCTCAATATGCTTGGAAAATGACAATAATTCTATTCGCTAATTCTAGTTTTTCAAAAACATGTTCATACAAATTCATACAGCAAACTAGTTTGCTGATAACTTTGATGGAAGGAAATGTGTGAATGGCAAGTGTGAAACAAATAAAAAGGAATGTCAGAACAGATGAGATCAGGGGCAGAATGTTGATGATCCCCAACTGTTGATGTCTTATGTCAAAACGGCAGCTTTCTGATATAAATAGAGAGCTGTTAAAAGTGGCATTACCTGTGGGATCTTCTGACTCATACTTTATCTTCATCAAACCTTCAATTTCTTGGGGCAAAGGTTTGCTCCAATCAATCTCCTTCAGAAATGCTGGGTGATTTTTCAGCTCCTATACAAAAGTGTATGGAAAAAAAAAAAAAACTGAAAGGAATACAATGATTTAGAGTCTTAACGAGTTATAATTATCCAACCAAGGGATATTGAAGTTTCTGATCACTTCATACCACTGCTTCCAGTAGTATCTTTCGGTCAGCATGGTTATACCCAGTCTCTCTTGCATATGAGTGTAATGTAGCGGTGGGTCTCCATGGCTGAAAGGTCACGTCATTTGCCCCAAGCTCTGAAGGTCATGAGTTTGCAATTTTTATGGAGATCTCTGGGGATCATCGCTGGAGCTACGGAGCTTGTGTTCTGTGCAACACTCGGCAGGCAGCTGGCTGTTCTGAGAGAGAGACTGAGCCATGTGGGATGAAACCTTGTGCAATAAATGATCTTCTCACCTTTACATCATACATACTATGATCAAGCAAAGACCTTTTAAGTTGGCTTCATTATAAACTTTCTTACAGAATATACAATATAAATGATTACTAGGCAATATTTCAACTTTTTACAGTGGTGCCTCAGTAAAAAACCTTAATTCATCCATGACCTTGGGTGGTAAAACGCACGTTTTTGGGCCCAGAAACAGATTGACTTCCCTTCCCATTCTTAAACTGCTGTCTCGTTCGGCATTTCCAATGTTGCGGGGCTTTCGATTCCGGCATTGGTAGGGAATGGATGACGGTTGAGAACTTGGCTTATGTTGACCATTCTCGTTGCTATTTCTCCTCCAGTTTCAATGTTGCAAGATTTCCAGCGATGACGCCAGGTCTCGCAGTGTGTTTAAGGAGGATTGCACCTTGTGGTTTGCCAGATCAAATCATGTGTGTTTTGCTGACTGAGGACACTTTGTATGGCTATGGCATTCACTTGTTTATCTGACTCAGTTTGTGACTGGAATCACTGGCAACAGCGGTTGAGCAATTATGGGCCAAGCTCGTTTGCTGTGATGCCAGAACTGTAACGACTAACTAACTAACTAAATTCGTGTGGGGGTGTCATGCTTAATAACCGGCCGGCAATACATTACCAAAACATGCCGAACTGGCCCTAACCCCAACTCTCCTGCGTTCCATGAAAAAGTGCAAAATAGTACACGCCAGGTGACAGCAATTCATGAATGAGAAGGGATGTCACTCTATTTCTGGGCCAGAAAATGTGAGTTTCACCCCTTAGACATATGCTAAACAGATTTTTCTATGAGAAATAAATGGAGAATGATCCTGTTCCCATGACAAAAAAATTATATTGTTATCGACATATTATTCACCGATGGGGTTGTATACAATAATTTACACACTGCTTAATCTATATATATAAAAATCAATGTCTGTGAGTTTGTTTATGAGCTATAGACTCGGAAACTACTGAACCGATTTAGCTGAAATTTTCAGGATATGTTTGTTTTGATACCGGATGTTCACCCATCATAGTTTGAAATTCAACCTGTCATTGTTAGAGATAGTGTGCAACAATTTTTGGGAAAATCTTCTAAACTAATATTTCCATTTTTAGTGACATCTAATTATAACCACGTTAGTTAATGCGGATGTGCGATCGATTTTTACCGTGCATGCGCAGTAGTGGCGCTCCATCGTCAACATCCGCGACATTTAAGTTATATTACAAGGAAAACAATTGCCTGCGGTTTTTAGTTGTGTTATCTAGAAATATCTAAAAAGGTAAGAGCATTTATTTCAGTAACATTAGTCAGTATGTACATGTTTTTTGGACAACTTCAAACATGTGTGGACCGCTCCTTAAATCACGCAATGATAAATGTATTATCTGTTGACTTTCTCATACTGTCTAGCGTACTATTATGATTGTTACATGTTTACATGTCTACACAATTTCGGCTGCTGTTATTCAGAAGAATTTTATACATTCACATGCAATTCAGTCGCAGGTTAACTGTAGGCAGTCTGTAGACTGTAGTTAAGTCGATTATTTCAGTGGCAAGACACATATACCACAAATCTTACTGCTACACTGGACACCTATTCATGAGTTGAAATAGATTGTTATCTCATGCTCATATTTTCATTGATTTAAGCTGGGCACTGGACACCTACCTATTCATATCGTTTACCGGCTTTTCAGAAAATTTGCTGCGCAGTTTCTATGCATTTCCTCTTGAGTCGAAATAAAATGTTATCTTATGCTCATATTTGCATATTTTTTTTTTCAGCGATACTTCAAGTCACATTTCATTCAGTGCGTGGGGACGAACAAGCTATTGACAATCAACGCTCTCTAAATTCACATGATGTTCACTATTTTGTCAAACATTTGCAGTTATGCCTCCCAAACGACTGCTACAGTTTACATGTCTACTCAATTTCCGTGGGCTTTCTCCTATTATTCAAATGAATTATATACATTTACATGAAATTCCGTCGCAGGTCAACTGCAGGTAGTCTGTAGTTAAGTCGATTATTTCAGTCGCAAGACGTATATACCACAAATCTTACTGCTACACTGGACACCTATTCATATTGTTTACCAACTTTTCCTAATATTTGCTGCACAGTTTCTATGCATTTCCTCTTGAGTTGAAATAGATTGTTATCTCATGCTCATATTTTAATTTATTTAAGCTGGGCACTGGACACCTACCTATTCATATCATTTACCGGCTTTTCAGAATATTTGCTGTGCAGTTTCTATGTTTATTCCTATGCACCTATGGGTTCCAATGCAAAGACATTCCAGTTATGCTGTTCTCCGGTTTTCTTAATGTGTGTCCTATCCAACGCCAGCATTTTTTCTTCACAACTTGGTCCACTGGAGCTTGCTTAGTTCTCTCTACATTAGTTATTTTATCATACCATTTCATACCCTCTATTTTGTGCAGGCACCACTAATAAATGTCTGTAATTTATTA